CTTCTTGTGTGCCGGGGTTTACAGAAGTGTGTCACCATTCCTGGATATTTTTAAATGTATTTGTGCAATTTAGGTTTTCTTCTAATTACTTTCATTTATGTGTAAAAGAGGGACTTTTGATTATTTTAATAACCTGGGTGGATTAAATCCATAATCATAAAGTCTTAGCATAATAAATCATGACCGAGTCAACAAGTAACATATAGATATATACACCTTTTTTCTGTCTTTTTTTTAAGATAGCCATCAGCACTGCAAAAATCTTAGTTATGAGAGTGCTTTTGTCAGAGAAACATGTTACCACAATATATTTGAATTAAATGAACATTTACTTCAAGTCAAATGAAAAACTCTTTTTAAGTGTGTGTTTTGTACCTGTAACTCGTATTTTTCACTCTTGTATACTGTGTTGACAAAGGATTTTAACTTGAAAATGTTGGCTTTATAAATTTATAATATACATGGATAGAGTTTCATTGGAAGATTATTGGTATGTGGAACTTTGAAAGTGCATATAAAATACATACTTTCAAATTTGTATTTTTTGTGGGCTTGTGTGTGTGTTTGTTAATTGGAAGGATAAACAAGAGGTGGATAGCAGCATATATTACTTGATAGTTGGGTTAAAGGTGGTTTTTCATCCTTACAATTACTTGTCTCTAGAATTTTGAGAATATGTCCAATGATGATTTTTTTTAAAGAAAAAAAAAACAGTTTCTAGGAATGCACAAGGCTGGCTCAGTGTGGGTCCAAAAGTTTTTCCAGTGTTATCTTAAAGAAAAAAATACTTGTGGTTATTTATCCCAGAGTTATTCAGCACAATGTGACATTGGTTTGGGTTTTGCTAGACCCCTTCTCTGATAACTATTAGAGAATAGCTTCTCTTTTGACAATGAAAATATCTGACCATTTAAAACCTATATATTTAACCTACCTCACTTACTTTGTTTATGCCTTTGGGTTCTCACTTGTTCAAGACTCTAGATTGGGCGCTATATGCCTGTGTGGCGATATCTCACTTTCATGGCTAGATAGCTATGTAGCCATGTTAGCTATAATTTAGCATTGGAAAATCTCTGAGCCATCTCTACGGCCTTATCCTTCTTTATTGTCTTCTGGGCTTATATATCTTGCAGCTCTAGTTGTTATCAATTAGTCCTCCCAAATGATTATTCTAGTCCGACTTTTAAAGGTAAGGTCAAAGAAAGATGAGTGATGTTTTATGATTTGTGTGTGTATGGATACCCCATGAAGCCTTGAGCTCTGAGAGAATATAGAGGGAATTGAGGACCTAGAAGAAACATGATCAACAGTGGATTTCATCAAGCTAGTGGCAGAAACAGGATCTTATTTTGTGTCTTCAGTCTGAAATTCCACTTTGTTCTTTCTCTGTTCATTGAAACTGTTAGCCCTGTGAATGACTCACACCCCCCCCCCCCCCCCCGCCACACACACACTGTATGCATGCACAGGCAAATATAACCTCATGATTTTACTGTCAGTGTAGCAAAAGATGAAGCTTAGAAGTGGATTACTTGACCCTTTCTCCTCTTAGTATCCTCTTTATTACCAGCATTCTCTTAGATTTGCAGTTGGGTTCCACACATTAAAGCCTCATTATACTGTTTTGTGTGTGTAGTTTTTTTCCTCTTTCCTCTCAGAAAAAAATTATGCAAGGTTGTTCATAAAGCAGCTTTGCATCCTATCACAACACCTTTTTCCCTGGGCTTATTAGAAATCCCTTTCCTGCCTGTACTGTTACTCTGGGGTTGGAGCTTGCTTCATTTCTTATACAAAGCCTGGTGGGTTTCAGGAACATTTATCATGTTTGTATGAGTGTTCTAAGCACAAAAAAAATGAAATTATCTTTTTATATGATAAATTCAAGAACCTTTTTTATTCCAAGTTCATTATACTTTCTGATACTAGAATATCATTTTAAATCCTCTTAATGCTTATACTTTTGTTTTCTTTAATAATGTTCTTTTCTTCTGTGGAATTCTTAGCTGTGCCAGGCTTTTTCTTTTAGGCCATCTACCAGCTCCCAAACCATGACACAGAGACTTATTATTAGTTGTGAATAAGATTGGCCTAGCTTAGGTATGTTTCTGGCTAGCTCATATTTATGTTTTTATTTGTTTTCGTTTTTTTTAAAAAAACTTCTTTATTGAATTTTTGGGGTTTCACATCTTGCACCCCAATTCTGTTCACCTTCTGGTCTCCCAGTATTCCTCCCCATCCCTGTTGCATTCTCCCACAAAACAAAACAAAGTAAGCAAGCAAGCAAACAAAACCAAGAACAACAACAAAACAATAAATCAAAACAGAATAAAAACCGCACCTAAAACCGAAAACTCTCTGTTTCGCCTTCTCTCCTGACTCTTCATCACCTCTTCGTTCATCCTGATGGTATTGGAGGCTTCAGTGTGTCATTTAGTATACTCCTTTGTCCCATCAGCTTGACTGGCAAATGTCCATTGCAGTGAGTCTTTGGTCTGGTTCAAGGCCTCTGGTCTTTGGTACACTATCCTCACTGGATCCTCACCAGAGCTCTTCTGGGGTACCTTGTGTCTTGGAGATCTTGCTGGTATAGTTCCACAGGACCAGCCCTTTCACAAACTCCAGCAGGTCCTAGATGGGGGAGATGCTAGGCCCAGCTGTGAACCTGGGCGTTCTGCCTAGCTCTTTTAATTTTATTAACCTGTTTCTATTTATCTACATTTTGCCCCAGGGCTTAATATCTTTATTACTTTTGTATATCTTATTTTCACTGCTTCTCTATGTCTGGGTGGCTGGCATCTGCCTGGCTTCTTGCCCTGGATGTGTCCCTTGTTCTTTCCTCTTCCTCTTCTCTTATTCTTCCTCTCTCTTGAGCCTAGATTTTTCTTCCTATTTCTTATTTCTGCCTGCCAGCTCCACCTATCCCTCTCTCTGCCCAGCTATTGGTAATTCAGCTCTTTATTAAAACAATCAGGTGCCTTAGGCAAGCAAGGTGAAACAAATGTAACATATCCTTATATAATTAAACACACATCCTTACGTCATTAAATGCTGTATAAACAAAAGCAACACACCTTTACATAGTTAAATATTCTGTAGTATAAACAAACGTAACACGTTTTTGTTTAAAGTAATATTCCACAACACTCAGCTTTTAAAAATATAGTACGCATGCACACCCACTCACCTGCCTGCCTGCCTGCCTGTTACCATGTTTTGTGTTTGTGCTCTTGTCTGTCTTATGTTGTTGGAGTTCAGAAGATGGTTTCAGATCACCTGGAGCTGTAGTTAACACCATCTGTGCTCCTGAACATGTTTTCTGGGAACTTCAGTATATTGTAGTATATTGTAAGAGTTCTTAACCATTGAGCCATCTCTCTAGCCCCCAAATCCCAGATTTTATGTGGTAAACTGTGTATCGTAGAACCCCCCCCCCCGATTCTTTCTTTCCTTCACTCACCGTCCTTGCTGGGTACCAAAGCTGGTTTCAAATTCACGAATCTCCTATTTGAGCCTCTTAAGTGCCAGGATTATAGGTAGATTCTCCACTACTAACTCTTAGTGTATCTTCTATCCACATAGTACCAAGCACATCATGGGAATTATATCATTATTTATTAAGTAAATGAATAAACTAAATCTAGAGTCAGATACTTGTATTGACTAAAGAAACGGGAAAGCTTTCAGGAAATAGATTGGGCTTATTGATGGTCTCTAAGAACTGGTAGTATTTAAAGAAGCAGAAAAGGAGCAAATTAGATGTAATCAAAACAAGATGAGTCACTGAAACAAAAATCTTTTTCAGTTAGTGTATATGGTGTGTTTGATTGATACATGTCTGGTGATTTTGAAATTGAGGAGGATCTTAGTATTAACCCATAGAAAGCTCTGGATTTTTTTTCTTAATTGCATAGCCAGTTGAAGCCTGAGGGTGAATTGGGAGGAAAACAGCCCAGACTGTATCTGACATTATGCATTATTATGGTAGAAAAGTACACCTCTGGCAAAACAAGTCGAACAGTTGTGTTACTACTCCAGGTAGAACTGAATGAAAGTATAGACCTGTGAGTGTCAAGGGGAAGGGTAAATTAGGTGCGTAGTCTATTTTTGGCCACTGAGTGAAAGAACAGATGTATAGCTAAGTCTTGAGAAAAGTATTGGTATTGGTGAGAGAAAACTATCAGAAGCAGCAAAGTTTGGGGAGTTGAGGCTTTAAATGCAAATAAATCTTTTGGGCTAGAGATATAGAAATCTTTCTGCATAACTTCATAAATACATTCCCTTAATTACCAAGTTACATTTAGTCTGTACACCATCCCATCTTAACAACAGACAAATATATGCACCTGATCTTTTTCCTAATGCTTATTCTGTGTTTTATTAATATTTCTTGGATTGGACTCTTCTCATAGAAGGATGGTCTAATATTTTCTTTTTCATATTTGTTTTAGAATATGGGGCATGTTGAGGACATGCAGGGAAAAAAACTAATTAATAGTAGTTTAAATCTATCAGGTCTCCTAACAAGCAGTTTGCCACTAAAAATGAATTTACTATTTTGAGACAGAATCTCAATGTGTAATCCAGGATTACTTTAAATTTAAGATCCTCTTGCCTCAGCTTTCTGAGTGCTGAGATTATAGGCCTATTCCACAGTACTTACTTGGCTCTTAACAGGTAATTATTATTAGAAGATTTGATTTGTGGAACTTTTCATTGCATTTATGATTTTTCTACTACCAATGTTATGAGGGCTCTGTTAAAGGCCTTAAATCAAAATTCAGTGACTGCCAATCTACCATCATCTCTGATTTACCCTTTCATTTTTGAGACCCTAAAACAAAGCCCTGTACTTACCCGTGTTCCATTAGCAGCTTTTCATTTTATTTAAGTATCCAACTCTGAAATTCATATTTTGCTACTATTACATGTCAGAAATATATGGTACTTAAGGCATTAATTGTTTTGCTTTTTAGGAAAATAGAGGAGAAGGGAATACCATGGGACAAACAGTGAATGAAGGTAAGATTTGCTTATCTAAAGACTGTTTTTAGCTGTTTCTAACAAGTATCTTCGCATATACTGAACTTCTGAAATAAAGCCTTTAAAATGTTTTAACAAATAACATAGTATTAAACAATTACCTGCTGATTATACCCTTTTCCCTATTGAATACTGTCATACTCTGTTTCTAGTATTTTCCTTCCAGAATTATTTTCTTTTTCATATTTGAAAAAAGAAATGCTTTCTTAGATTTCTCTGTAGACATATTTTATTGACAATTGATTAGGGTACAGCATTCTTAGAAGCACCTTTATTTAGAAGATAATCATCAAGTAATTGAGGAACTAAATTGCTCCTAATCTCAATAAATTCTTTGCTACATACTTGGAATTCTTATATTCATTTCTTAAAGTCGGTTTTATTGCCCTTATTTATTCTGTTGTCCCTTAAGGGATTCAGGTAAAGTCTTCTTTTAAAAATGGTTTTTACTTTTAATTACATGTATATGTTATGTCTTTGTGGATATGTGCATTTGAGTGAAGTTGCCTATGGAAGACAGAGAGGACATCAGATGCCCTAGAGTTGTAGTTTCAGGCAGCTGTGAGCCACCTAAATAGGGTACTGTGGTAGTCATCTGCAAGAATAGTAAGTGCTCTTACCAACTCAACTTTCTCTATAGCCTCCAAATAAGAAAACTAAAAGTCTTGGAGGTAACTGAATAGATCTTATAATAGGGTTTTACAAAGCCAAAGTAAGAATAGAAATATCCTGGTCTGGGGATGTAATTTCGGCATTAGGAGGACTTGCCTAGCATGTAAAAAGCACTTTTTTTTTTCAGTTCACCCTACCAAACAATAAAATTAAAAATAGTAGAAAGTAGGAACTAAAAAAAAGAATAAATAGAATTCAATTCTTTTAACTGTAATATGAATGACTAATTATTTCATCCTGTATTTCTCTGTAGAAGTCTGCTTATTGACTCATTCATATGCCACACCTCTTTGCACTTTGTTGCGCTTTATTTGCCATAATACATTCTTCACACATTTGCCTCTTTATCCTATCTTGTCTATCTTATTGCTTTCTTCTGATCACATGTTGAGTGCTGGATGCTGTCCTTTAATTTTGTTTAGTTTATTTGTTTGCTCACCTTGGTATAGTATTTATAAATAGATTGTTGGTTTCCTTAGAAAAAGACCCATGCTGTTAACATTTTTGTCATAGAAATTCTTACTATAGAACTATTTGGTAAATTTTTTAAGTGTGTGATTTCTTCAGACAATTTAATGAGAATTGTCTCCCTAAAATATTCATAGACCTATAAGGATTTCTTAATCAAAACCTGAAATACATATCAACCATTGCTATATGGAAACTCTGAGTCCTGAGATTCAAGCAGTCACACTTAAGATAATGAAAGACATTTGAAAAACAATGATACTGTTGATTATTTGATGATATTAAGAACTTAGGATATTTTAGCATTATATTTTATAATTATTTCTTTCATATATACTCTAATTTGTCTGAGTGAAGTGATATATTTTATATTTGGTGACATCTCAAGAATTTTGAGCCCTCATTGAAATATGTAGTTTAGCATACAAAAAAACCTGAGTAGTACATTGTGTTTTATTCTAGCTTGCATGTGATGTTTTTTTAAACACTTGAAAGCATCACTTATTTCTAGGAAATTATTTTAAGCAGTGTAAGGATCCACCAACAGTTGATTTAGATTATTGACACATTCACTTAACATGTTTTAGGGCATTATATATCCCAGATCCTGGTCTATGTTGCAAACATGTATTACTGAGCAACACGGGCAGAATTAAATACTTAATTTTATAAAACATTTTAGTAGTGAAAAATACAGTAAAGAAAATGGAAAAGTAAATTATAAAGTGTAGAATGCACTAGAAAGTATTAGGACACATAGCAAATGAAGATAATCATAAAATTTAAATATGTTCTCATTTAAATATTAAACTAATTATATAATCTTTGAAGTGTTCTTTCAGACTATTCCAATTTTATTTTCTTTCCCTTTGGTTAGAATCAATGGATGTCAAGAAGGACAATCAAGAGAAAACAACTCATTCAAGTACATCTTCTGTGCAAAGAAGTAGGTTTTTAAGTAATTTATTTAATACATAATTTTTCTTCCTCTTTCAGTGTTATAATGAACTCATGTTGCTTCTGGTATAGTATGTATATACTAACTTCCAATACCTTAGGAATCTTAGTCATAGAAAGGATTAAAAATGTACTGTGATATTTTAACTTTTAATTTATTTAAAGATGAATTGATAAAGATTGCATGAAATTACAATTGTATATTTAAGTGCAAATTTGTCCAATTTTTAATGGTAGAAATTTGTCAATTAAAATTATCAGACTTTTTATATATAAATGAGATTACCTAATCAACTAGGCAATTATATGAATATATTTTCAAGGATCTAGACCATGGCATTTCATTTTAGTAATCAGTGAGTTACTGTTAGAGGTAAATTCTTTTTTTTTTTTGGATAATGCTTGACACATGCAATTATCTAGTGCCAAACAGAACAGGTATGATTTCTGCTTTCTCTGATCTTCAGTAGGTTGGTAGATAGTAAATACCTAACTATAGTTGTAATGAATGCTATGTATGTTGTTCATTAAACTGAGAGATTTCATCTAAGATATTTCCTGCTTATCATCTTCACATAGCATATGAACCCAAGCTTGGCCCTGATAAAAATACATTATAATTCTGATTAACTCCAGAGAAAATCAAGGGGGTTGATAGAGATTATTATATTCCATGTTCCACAATGTGTTAGACCTAATGTATAAATTAGAATGGAGTATAGGCTAATATGAAGAAGAACTCTGTGGATGTGTGTGCACACTAGTCAGATCACACAGTTATGTATGTGCATGCACCTGTCTTTTGAAAAGTTACATCAGTTTCTAGATATCTTCCCCAAGAGAAAATGACCTCAGGTTCTCCTATTCTACTGAGAACATTACACAAAGGCAGAAAAAACTTCAGGCTGACTTTTGGTTGCTGGTTAGGAATACCAACTGTGGTGTTGATGTAGGTGTTAGGTGTGTTAAATCTAAATTAATAAATATTGGATCCATGTGTGTTTCCATTGTGTTAATGGTAGTGATTATCACATGGGAAGCCAAGAACAATTTTGGTAAAGCAAAGTAAGTCTCTGGTATACACTACAGATTGACATTGGCTAACAATATGATAGAAAATGTTTATGCTAATAGAACACTACTGGATAGAAATTGGTAACTCAGATTATAGCCAAGTCAGATACAAATGACGATAGAATATTTACAAATTGTGTAGGAAGATTGAGTTTGAGGTCATCCCAGACTATGTAGCAAGACTTAATCTCAAAGAAAAGTTTTGATCAGATGCATTAAATATTTTCTTTTTTCTTTTTATTATTATTACAAATTTTCACCTCTTCCCCCTCCTTCCATTTCCCTCCCCCTCCCTCTCCAGTCAAAAGAGCAGTCAGGGTTCCCTGCCCTGTGGGAAGTCCAAGGTCCTCCCCCCTCCATCCAGGTCTAGGAAGGTGAGCATCCAAACAGACTAGGTTCCCACAAAGCCAGTACATGGAGTAGAATCAAAAACCAGTGCCTTTGTCCTTGGCTTCTCAGTTAGCCCTCCATGTCAGCCACATTCAGAGAGTCTGGTTTGATCACATGCTCCATCAGTCCCAGTCCAGCTGGCCTTGGTGACCTCCCATTAGATCAGCCCCACCGTCTCAGTGGGTGGGTGCACCCCTCACGGCCCCGACTTCCTTGCTCATGTTCTCTCTCCTTCTGCTCCTCATTTGGACCTTAGGAGCTCAGTCCAGTGCTCCAATGTGGGTCTCTGTCTCTATCTCCATCCATTGCCAGATGAATGTTCTATGGTGATATGCAAGATAGGCATCAGAGTGGCTATAGTATAGGGCCAGTTCAGGCGCCCTCTCCTCAGCTGTTCAAGGAATAAGCTGGGGACATCTCCTAGGACACCTGGGAACCCCTCTAAAGTCCAGTCTCTTGCCAACCCTCAAATGACTCCCTTAATTAAGATATATACTTCCCTTCTCCCATATCCACTCCTCCTCCATCCCAAGTGTCCCATTCCCTCAAGCTGTCTCCATCCTCCCCTTCTCACTTCTCTCTCCCCATCTCCTCTTACCCCCACCCCACCCAGACCCCCAAGCTCTCAATTTTGGCCTGGAAATCTTGTATACTTCCAATATCCAGGAGGATAACTATATGGTTTTTTTGGAGGATATACCTTCCTATTTAGCTTATCTAGGATCATTAATTATAGGCTCAATTTCCTTTATTTATGGCTATAATCCACTAATGAGTGAGTACATACCATATTCATCTTTTTGGGTCTGGGTTACCTCACTCAGGATAATGTTCTCTATTTCTATCCATTTGCATGCAGAATTCAAAATATTTTCTCATTTCACTAAAATCTTCATAGATACTTCTTCAAAGAAAAAGATTAGCTCTCTGAGAAGTATATGACCACAGTCTTTAGTCATTGTTTTCCTTTTTGAGGTGTTATAATCTCAACTAAATCTTAGTCTTTTGTTGTTTGTAATTTATGTTTTATTTTGTTCTTGTTCTTCTATTGCTCTGTTGGATCATGTGGTGTTAGAACTTCAGTTAGAGTTGTAGCACTTCTGATTTTTATGTTAGGAGACCATGGAAATATTTTGACAATTTAGTTGTGGACTTGGATCTCAGTTTTTACTTTGGACAAAGCTAAGTATTTACAACTTTAGGGACAATTTTAACATTAATCTTTTACTGTACACTATTTAGTACTCATAGGCTTTATTTCATTTAATTCTAAACACACATGGTACCATATATACTCATTTTCACATATTTTACATAAGGTAACTGAGGCAGAGAAAGTGAAATGATATGCTCAGGGTTATATAATAAGTCGTAGACCCATACTGAAAACAGGGAGATCTGACTCTGAAGTACATGTTCTTGACACTTTGCTTCATGATTTTCAATACTGTGGGAGTACTCACTTTACGCCATCTAGAAGCAGGATCAAACTGTGATTTTAGATCATTGGCTGAGTTTAATGAAAACTTCTGTAATCTTACATATAACATGTGTATTACATATGCATAGATATGTGAATACTTATAGTATTTTATGGTATACAGGGGATGGCTCATACTGACTTGAAGGAGCTAGTTGTACACATTTTCCTCCAACTTAGTGGTTAATAAGTTTTGTTTGGCATACTGTAGTCAGCCATGGTGTCAATATTTATATTATAGAAATCTACAGATACTTAAAGCAGGTTTTATTATTTGTATTTTCTAGAAAATTGATTGGTAAATAATCTCTATGTTAGATATCTGTGTTATCCTTTGAAGGATGTAATAGTCCTTCCCTTGGGGGAGGTGTATTCCAAGATCCTACTCTGGTAGATGCTTGAAACTGGATAGTAATGGATGCTTTACATATAAATATGTGATAATTGTTTGATTTATAAATAAGACAAAGACACAATAAGAGATTCTTAGCTATTAGCATAAATATCAGGACCCTCAGCATACTACTTTTCTTTCATTGTTAGGAGCTTTTACCTTTTCATTTAATGAAAGAATAGCCTTTTATGGTTTCACTCTGCCATATCTGAATTACCGAGTATCAATATTCTTGCACTTTGTGGCTATTGTTAAGTTGAAATTAAGGTAAGATATTTGGATACTGTCTATTTGTTACTTTAGCAGGCAGCTTGATGACAAGTTGTTGCTAAGTGATTAGCAGGCTGGTTGCATTTGTGGCATAAATCTCTTGAGTGGGATAGAGTGTGACTATGTGAGATTTATCACACTGCTTACAGCAACTGTACAATTTAAAACTTATGAATTATCTCTGGAATTCTCTCTTTAACATTTTGTATTGCAACTGAATAAAAATAGTTGAAATCATACATAAGGGAGGCTGAGGATAAAAAAGTAGCACTGTGTATCAGAAACTGGTAACAGAGATTCACCTAGGGAAGAGAAGTCAAAAATTTATAGTGTTTAACAAGAACATAAAAACTTTCTGTTTGCTTGAAAATTAGACTCTGTATATGAATATGTATTTTGTAGTATTTCTAGTCAGTTTTTCAAGTGTTCTGACGGTCTGGCTAGCTTAATGAAAGTGTTCAATCTAGGAAGAGAGACTTCTTTCTGATAGCACTGTGGCATGTTATAAAGACTCTTGAAAGAGCACAGCAAGAATCTATAGAACATGTATAGCACTAAAATCATCCATTTCAGTGACCACACTGATCAGTGTTTACTGCTCTATTTTAACACCATGTTTTTTTACACTGTGGATGGAAATTTAATACTTGGTTCTCCAGAATTTTCTTTTTGTTAAAATTCTGTTAGAACACATACTAATCACTTTTAGCCCCCCACCCCCACCCCGAAGGCGAAGGCGTAAGTCAAAAACAATCCCACACCAGTTTAGAATTATGATTAATAGAATGGTTATTTATTTAAAGGGGAAAAAACTTACAGATCACCGTCCCAGACAACAGCCCTCTGTGCAATCAGGAAGGGAGTCTAGTCGCCAGAAGCAGAGCAGGAAGTAAGAGAGAGCGAGAAGGGAAGTGGCCGCTTTTTTAAAGGGAGAGAGACCACGCCCCAATGGGCTGGTATCTCAGCGGCTATTGGCTGGAGGAGCGGAAGGACCTCCTGCAACACTCCCCCCCCCCCCAAAAAAAAAAACCAAAGTGCCTTCATATTAATGGAATGGTATAATGTCAACAATATTGATGATCAAATGTATATTTGACACATATACAAATTTTCTAATCTATAAATTTTTCTAGTTGTTTATGGTATCCACACCTTTCTTGCAGTGTAAAGTCTTGAACCTCTACTTCTACTTCACACCCCCAACCCATTCCTTCAAAATCACTCTGCTTTAGTCCACAATTCATTGAGAGGATATGGGTTATCATTTCCATTAGGACCATTATTATTAGGAAGTTGATTTTATTTCTTGCATAACTGAATATAAATTAAGAAGTTTGAACTTGGTTTGTAGAAAGTATTGTTTCCCTTTTTTAATTTTTGAGATTATAATGTAAGTATAACACTTTCCCCTTCCATTTGCACCCATCAGAACCCTCCTATATCCCTCCTTGTTCTATGTACATATTAATTCTTACGCTATTCAGAGAAAAAATCATAACTATATACTCCGAACCTAACCTATTTTATGTTTTTTTTCCAGATTATTTTGACTGGGACAAGTATTTGAAAGAAACTGGTTCTATAAGTGCTCCTTCAGAGTACTTCAGACAGGTATGCCAAAATTCTGTTGAGACTTTATACATTAATGTACAACCTTAGCATGTGGAAGAGTAACTATGTGGTTTCAGGTTTCTGGTAGTATGAGGAGAAAGTAGGATTATGTTTGTGCCACCCAAAACCAAGTGATCTATTTGCAGTTATTTTGCTAGCTATAGTAAGCCCTTAAAATTGCCCATTTAGAGGGAAAGACAAAAATAGCAAATATAACAAACATAATAACTCGTACTGAAAGAGCTCCATGGAACAGATGCTATTTAAGATTGTTAGAATGAGAAGAAAGAAAACATGCAAAACAATTTAAGTATTAAGAGATGGCACAGAGTAGCTGGAATGCAAGGTAGATAGAGCACTGTAGGATCAAGGCTAAAGGTGTGTAAGGTGTTTGAAGTGTGTTGGAAAGTTTAACTTTATCATAGACTTTGATAGGACTTCTAGTTTGTTCATTTCAAGGGGAATAGCTTAATAGGATTCTTATTTTTTAATGTCTTTCAGGATGTATTTTATAGACTATATTTGTATTTTCTCGATATACAGGTGTGTGAGGATAGTGATAACCAGCAAATTTTTTTCTGCATGTCAGTCAAAAGGGAGACTTTTCCTTGAGCCTTGTAACACTGACCTCATTCACCTGCTGTGACTCTACCTAAATAATGTCTCCTAAGTATTCTGGTAACTTAATTTACCATCTGTTTTTCTTACAGTTCATGCATTTTAACACAATGTTGTTTATATATTTAGTCTAAGATTCCACCAACTAATGAATTCCAAGTTGGTATGAAATTGGAAGCCCGTGACCCTCGCAATATTGCTTCAGTGTGCGTTGCTTCTGTTATTGCAACTACTGGTGCCAGATTGCGTTTACGACTGGATGGTACTGACAATAAGAATGATTTTTGGAGACTTGTTGATTCATCAGACATACAGCCTGTTGGGACCTGTGAACAGGAAGGAGATTTACTTCAACCCCCACTGGGTAAGGAGAAAGAAACAGTTCTTGAATATAGTCTTACTAGTAAGCTAAGCTATTTACTAGAGGTGGTTTGAAGTATCCTTTTAAAAATCACTTAGGCCAGCCGGGCAGTGGTGGGGCACACCTTTAATCCTAGCACTTGGGAGGCAGAGACAAGCGGATCTCTGTGACTTTGAGGCCAGGCTGGTCTTGAAGGCGTAAGTCACAAACCATGTTGGGTCCTCCCGCAACATGGTCTACACGAGCTAGTTCCAGGACAGGTTCCAAAGTTGTCTGTAGAGAAGCCCTGTCTCAAACTCAGCACCCACCCCCCTCAAAAAAAAAAAAGCCACTTTGGCCTTCTTACATGTTCATGGCCAGGGAGTCACAGTAGAGGATATATGATGCACTAAGACACTTTCATACATACTGCACAAGTGTGCTAAAAGGCCTCATTTTTTGAGCAAATGTTATAGTAATCTTCAGATTTAAAGCAGCAAAAGAAATTTTCATATACCATGCATGTAAATTTAGAAACTCCTTTAGAAAAGAAGCCATTATACATCATGTGAGTGACACACCTCTTGATAATGTCTATTGAGCCATTCAACACTTTGGGTATGAAGATGAGGATAGGAAGAATGTGAGATTTTACATTCTGAGAGGAGTACAAGAATCAGTACCTCTTAGACATCGAGAGAGTTCTTTCAGTCCTAACCATTAGACACCAAAGAACCTAGTTACTGTTAGGCACAGAAAAAGATGAGAGAATGGAAATTTTAGCAAAGGGCTTAAGTTTAAGCGCACGTAGTGTTTGGTTGGACTATGTTTTTAAAATACAAAATGATTATGACATATTTTAGAAAAAACCTTAAAGAATTGAAGAATATGCATATGATCTGTATATATGACACTCCCACATCAAGAAAATAAGTGTTTAGTTGATTTGGTGATCATTCTTCATTCTAAGTGAATTTCAGATGTTAGTATTCATATTTACAATGTTTAAAATAAAAATTAATGTAAAACTCACAATGAATTTTTCCCTATTAGTAAAGTATTTCCCAAGAACCAATAATACATAATATTGAGAATAATTACTTTAGTATTATCTTTTAAATTTTTGTTAATTAAAATTGATTTAGTTTAAGAACTGGAATGTAGCCCAGTCAGACGAGCACACACTTAACATTCACAAAGAGCTTATTATCGATTCTTATTACCAAACATTGTTTTAAAGTAATTTTAAAGGAGATTCAGTGAAACTTAGTGACAAGGTGCTTGTTTAGCAGTCCCCCTTCATTGGTTTTTTTACCTGTCCAAGATAGGTTTGTTTCAATGTTTTTGGGACTGTATCTCAGTAAAGTAGCTCATGTTGCCCTTGAACTATATTGATCCTCCTGTTACAGTTTCCCAAATGCTGAGATTATAGGTATGTGCCACTACAAAAAAGTTTTTTTTTTTAAATTTTGCCTTGTTTTTATTTCTTTTACACTTATTTAGTGTGTGTGTGGGTGGGTGGCTGTGGTGTGGGTGTATACACACGTGATACAGAACACAAGTGAAGGTCAGAGTACAACTTGGGGAAATCAGTTTTCTTCCTTGTACCATGTGCTTTCTGGGTATCAAACTCAGGTGGTCAGGCCTGACAGTAGGAATTGAGTAACAACCATTCCATGTTTCCACTATCACCATTTTTTTCCTAGTTATATTTTGGGGATTTCAGTAAAAGTTTATTTGATAATGACTTGGTCTATCTTAACATTTTAGCATATGTTGCCTGTTGATAGCTCTGTTGTCGGTGATTCACATGCACCTCTATCTTAGTGAATGAATTCATCAGGGGGTCATAGAAACTTTTTTCCAATTCTAGCATTTTGAGGAGGCAGGTTTTCAGTGAAAATGGTTGCTCCAGAAAACAGACTTAGCAAACTAGTCCCTGCTGTATATGCAAAATGTTGATATAAGTTGGTGAAATTTCTTAACAAGCTTATTTTGGTAACTTCTCTTTTAAATTTAAGATCATGTCTAGTATGTGTAAGAACTGCTAAAGGAAGAGAAGTCTTTTTCCTAATATTTTATAAAAGTTTCAGACATACGCAAAATGTAAAATAATTTTACAATGAGTATCCATAGACTCACTATCTCATTATTTTACTATATTGATTTATTATTTATGTGTTCATCTGTCGTATTTTTATGTATCCCAGAATAGTTGATATTAAATATCCTTCCCTTAAATACTTAAGCATGCATATTGTTAACTAGAATATAGTCATAATTTTTTACCTTTAAAAATTTAAAATAAGATGGCATTTTGTATATGTATATTTGTGAAGTTCAACAGACATGATCTTTTTGAAAGTCAGGGGCTCCAAGAAGAAGGGCTAGAAGCCTTTTGCCACCTTTTCCTATTCTTGTGTGGTTTTTGGTTGTAGAATAAAAGGGTTACTGAACTGCAGTTTGTATCAACTGTATTATTATGGCCTGTCCTCAACATAAGTGTGTTTGTTGGCAAGCCTTATCCAATGGCTGCTCTAAAATGAAAGTTTCTGGTTCTACTTTGACTTTGTTGCCAGATGTCAAAGCAATGGTTGTAGCTACAAGAAGATTCATCTCCTTTTACTCAAGTCCTTAGAAAGTCATTCTCAGAAGATGATATGTGAATGTAACCCATTTTTCTCTATTATCATAGTTTCACAGGTTTTTTTCGTATCTAATTTATAAAACAGGGTACAGAATGAATGTTTCATCATGGCCCATGTTCTTACTACGAACACTAACTGGATCTGAACTGGCACCTGCAGGGTTCTTTAAGAAAGTAAGAAAAGCATTACAAGAAATCTCTGTCCTCTCTCACATGATTTTATTTTCTAATGGGAATGCTTAATACTTTGTCTTTTCTGACATAGAAAAAAGTTGTTTTTTTTTTTTTAAATTGCAGGTTAGCAAATACTTTGTTATGGCAACTGTAACAAAGTGGAGTAATTTATACAGTTAAATATATTTACCCACAGTTTGGAGGCTAGAATAAGAATTAAGGTGCCTTGAAGACTGGTTTATAGTTGACCATCTTCTATTGTCCTTTTATGAACTCTGTGTGTGCACACCTAGTGGGTCTCTTATTATTATTAGGTCTCACCAGTCAAACTGGATTAAGGCTCCATTTTCAAATGTGTTCATATTGGTAATACTTCAACAGAAGTTTGGTATGAACAGACACCATTCATTTCGTAATAGTAACTGAAGTTCTTATGAGTTCATGAATCTGATAGACCCATCACACCCAGAAAGATTCTGTTTTGCTCTGGTTCTTTCTGACCTCTGACTCTTAGAATCTTCCTGCCTTTCTTTTCTGCAATGGTTCCTGAGGCTTGTGGTGGTGGGATGGTGGGATGTGGTTATCCCGTTAATACTTGAGAACATTTATTCTCTGCACAATGACCAGTTGATTAACAGTTTCCTTTATAGTATAGAAGCTTTTTAATTTCATAAAGTCAAAATTGTTGATTGTTGTATTTATCCTGGGTGACTAGAGCCCTATTCAGCAAGTTCTTACCTCAGTCAATATACTCAAGTGTATTCCCTGCCCTTTCTTCTAGAAGTTTTGCAGTTTCAGATCTATCATTGAGATTTTTTTATTCATTTGGCTTGATTTGTGTGAAGATTGAGAGAAAAGGATCAAATTTCATTTTCCACATGTATATAGCTAGATTTCGCAATACAATTTGTTTAAATAGCTACCTTTTCCCTAGTGTATGTTTTTGGTTTCTTTGTCAGGAAACAGGTAGTTAGTTGTAGGTACGTGTAATTATACTTGGGTCCTCAGTGCTCTTCCATTGCTCACCGTGTCTTCTTGTCCTGGTACCATGCTGGTTTTACTACTATGACTCTATAGTGTAACTTGAAATCAGGAATACTGACACCCTCACCAGTGTTGATTTTATTATTCAGGGCTGTTTTGATTATCTAGGGTATTATTTTGGGCTTTCATATAATTTTAAGATTTTATTTCAGTTTATGTAAAAAATATTTTTTTAGACTATTGGTAGAGATTGCACTGAATCTGTAGATTTTTTTTGCTAGGATAACCATTTTTATAATATTAATACTGCCATTTCATATGTATAGGAAGTCTCCCTTTCTTGTGTCATCTTCAATTTTTTCTCCAGTGTTTTCAAAATGTTTTCACTGTATATGGCTAGATTATTTAAACATTAGTTCTAGAGATTCAAGTCTTACTTGAAGGTGTGGACAGCACTTCTGAAGCTTTCTGAATTTCCATGCATGATCTTTCTGTGTCATCATGCTTTTACACAGACTTACTGTTTTGTGACTGACTTCCAGAGCAATTTCTATTTTTATCTCTTCAGAATAAAATATATCTTTGATATTCTGACACTTCTTTCCTGAAAACAGAGAGGAAACTTTTTAAAGTGATACTTCTCTAGAAGCAATATTTAATATTTTTTGTCAGTGAATCTTAAATTTCTGCCATGTGATAGAATATATTTCTTGTGTGAGTGGATGGATCAGGCTAGTTTTGTTTCCTTCTAGATTCTTTGCTTTGCAGGGAAAAAAATAAAAAGTTAAAGGAATAGTTTATTATTTTTAAGAATACCTTTCTTCCTAATGAATATGAAGTCTATGTTTGGTTGCTAAGGATTATAAAAGAACACACTGAAAAGATGGATCTTAATATACCTTATCTGTGAAAAATTTAAAAATGTTTTTGTAGGAACCACCACCACCACCCCTAAATAATTTTAAAGTTGGGATGAAGATTGAAGCTGTCGATAGAAAAAATCCATTTTTGATCTGTCCTGCCACAATTGGAGCTGTCAGAGGAGATCAAATTCATATTACTTTTGATGGATGGAGTGGGACATTTGATTATTGGTGCAAATATGACTCTCGGGACATCTTCCCAGTTGGATGGTGCTGCCTCACAGGAGATGTATTGCAGCCACCAGGAAACATTGGTAAGCTAATTATATATTCTTTTTTTACATCTTATTTTGATGGCAGTGTGTTTAGTAGTGGTGATTTTAGGACTTGGTGACAAATTAGAATGGTAGGTAGACCATTAATAACATTCTATAGTCTAGGTACTAGAGATGATGGAAGTTTCAAATTAGGATAATTAGAATTCTTGAGAACTCCCTACACATCTTATTTTGCAGTTCATGCCAAGTAAGAATATCAGCAAAGCCAAAAGTCACATTAAGAATATTGGAACTGTGTTGTTATAAACCTTGGCTATGTATAGGAGATGGTTATATTTAAAATTGCTTCTGTAATTATTATTCAATTAAAATGTATACTTGAGTTCTGGGGATATACATGGCTCAGTATAGAGTGAATGTCTATTCTCAACACCAAGGCCTTTTTAAAAAACATTTGCACATGATATTTCATTAGGTACATCTCAACCATAATTTTATAAATTGGACATAAGTATTGGAATATATTTTACATGGTTCTGTTTATATTTTAAAGATAAACTGGTACTCTGATATTCTCAAGTAAAATCTATATGCGAGTAAACTTTCTGACTCTGTGGTAGCTGTTGTAGATTTCTTTTCAGTAATTGAAGTTTTTGTCATTTGTAATGGTATTTCTAGATTGAATACTGTGATCATGTAGATGCCTTCTTTCAGAGAAATGAAATGTCTACAAAATATCAAAGCTCTTTGCAACTCATCCAAGGGCTTAAGCAAGCCTGATGTGGTCTTTGAAGTAACACTGCTGAGATATACTGGCCTTGAGTTTAATATAAATTTACTGCTGGAATCAAATGTAAAGATGATTAAAGTTTACCTCACTAAATGTTATCTGCATCATGAAAAAGAAATATAAAATAAGTAGGTAAGGAATATAGTGGAAGTTAGGGACTAGAAAAAGGCTTATAGTTATGTTTTTATTGTAACTGACTGCCCTCGAAGTCTTCTGTGATTTAATACATCCCATTATAGTATAGGAATACTTACCAGTTTATTGCTGCTGTATCTAGCAAGTAAATGTTAGTGGTCAATTTTGGTAAGTGTTTCTATTACACAGATCTATTTATGATACTAAGGCGGTTAATACATGGTATCTGCTCTTACAAAATTTATCTGCAAGTGAAGAGAAATGGACTGAAGGGTATATCTGTTAAAAATTACAAAAATAGAAAAGTATGGTAAATATGGAAATAGCTCAAACTCTGGAGAGAATGATGATTGAGTAAAGAAAATCTTCAGAGAAATATGTGACTGTTGAGAAAGGAGAAGAAATTTGCTATGCAGAATAGAACTGTAGGTAGGTATCACAGGTATAAACTTTGAGTTTACATTGAAAATGGATGAATTTTGCTTAAAACATGGTTGAGTTTGGAATGTGTGAATAAGAATGCTTTTTCCTCGAGTACCATTTTTTCTTCTCCATTTAGCTGCATCCCCAACCATGTGGTGGTTCTGGTTATGATTTTGTGGTGATAGAAATCATACCCAGGACCTCCTTATATGAATCATGCCCGAAGTCCCTTTTGGCTTCTTTCTTTATGTAATAACAAGAAGATATTTGTACATCACTTTGTGCTTTAAACTTTCAGGTTGAAAGAGATTATACTGAATATTCTATTTCCTTGCTTATTTCTCATACTATTATCACTGTGTAGATGATCTCTAATTTAGGATGACTACATTTACAAGTTTTGTCAGTACAATTTAGTGAAAGCAATAAACATTCAGGAGAAACCATACTTGGAATAGTAAAATTTAATAATTTTCTAGTCTAGTAATATGTGATAAAATATTTTATCGTGCTAGGCATTGGCAGTAGACAAAAAGGGGGAAAATGTTCTTCTGGTGTTGGTAGTGGATATATGATTCTGTTGGAGACTGTTCATGTTTTCACAGCTGATGATATTTGAAAAATGCCCATATGTGTCTCTTATATCCATATATACTTTCTGCTTTTTACTTTGAGTACGGTTTTCAATAAATTAATAAGATATCCAGTATTTTATTTTAAAATAGGATTTTTTGTTAAAGTTACATGATTTTACCCAACTATAAGCCAGCATAAATCTTCTGAGCATGTTTTAAGATAAATTAAATTTAAGTTTAAGCTATGATGTTCAGCAGGCAAAGTGTATCAAATGCATTTCAACTATCAAAATGCAATCCCATCATATCTTGAATAACACATATATTCCTTTATAAAATATGTCCCTACAAATTGCAATTTCATTCTACATGCATTCTATCATATGACTATATGTAATTAATTAAATTTTCAGTTTGTTAGATATTGAAATCCTTTAACTTGTATGTATATTATTAGACTAGATGCTATAAGTACTTTTATGTACATATACTTGTGAAGGCGTAAGTCACAAACAATGCCACACCAGTTTGGAATTATGATTAATAGGGTGGTATTTATTTAAAGGGGAAAAAACCTTACAGATCACTGTCCCATGCAACAGCCCTCTATGCAACCAGGAAGGGAGTCTATTCGCCAGCGGAGCAGGAAGTGAAGAGAGAAGAGGAGAGGGAAGTGGCCGCTTTTTTAAAGGGAGAGAGACCACGCCCCCATGGGCTGGTATCTCAGCAGCTATAGGCTGGAGGAGTGGGAGGACCTCCCGCAACATACTTGCATTTTTCCATATTTCATACAATAATTTGCTGACATAGAGAATATGTTTTTTTTGAGAATATGTTTTTAAGCTAGTAAATTGTCTTTCTCCTGAAAGACAACTCATACTTGTATTTATTATCCTAATAATTAGGTAAAATATTGCCACGCACCGCACCCCCGTGTCTGTGCTCTGTGCACTGGCACCCAGTTACCGAGCTTCGGGCAAGGGGCAGAAGGATAAAATACACAAACACAGACAGAAAGACAGCGACACGGGTCATCCTTGAATTTCCCAAGAATGCCCCCTTTATTGGGTTCAGGGGCAGATTATATAGAGATAGCCACGCCCCAGCCAAACCCACCAGAAACCACTCTCTTGCCATCAGGAACTCCTGAAGGTCTCGTGCTCAGAGCAGCTGTAGGCACTCAGATCAGGGGATTACAAGAAATTCAGGATCTGGGGTCTCACTGCTCCCAACAAATATTTTTCTCCATCCTGTCCAACCTCGGGGGAAAGATGTTTCTAAATTCATTATTTTCACATTTTTCTTCTTTAACTTATTTTACAGACCAACCAGTTTCCTCTTCCTTCTCTCTTTCTGTCCCCCCCTCCCCCCCCATACACACTCCCATTTTCCACCCTCCTCATACACTCCTCAGTTTCTATTCAGAAAGGGGCAGGTCTCCCATGGGCTTCAACAAAAGTATGGCACATTAAATTGAGGCAGGACTGAGCTTTTCACCTTACATCGAGGCAGTGCCTGGTAATCTGGCATGGGGAACATGTTACCAAAAGGCAGCTAAATGCCAGAAGGTTCTGCTTCCACTGTTAGAAGTCTTACAAAGAGACCAAGCTACAGGATTATCACACACATGCAGAGGGCCTAGGTCAGTCCCATTCAGGCTCCCTGACTGTTGATCCAACTTCCATGTGCTCCTGCAATCTCAGGTCAGCTGTCTCTATATGATCCCCAATCATGACCCCTCTGGCTGGTACAATCCCTCCTCCCTTTCTTCCACAAGAATAGGAGCTCAGGACAGTGCTTGTTTGTTAATCTCTGCCTCTGCTTCTGTAAGTTACTGGATAAAGTGTCTCTGATAGCAATAAAGGAAATCACCAGTCTGCTTACAGTAGATGGCCAGTTCAGGTGCCCTCTCCACCATTGCTAGGAGTCATCCTTGTGGGTTTCTGGAGGTTTTCCTGGCACCAGGTTTCTCCCTAACCCCAATATGGCCCGCCCATCAAGACCTCTCTTTTGTTATTCTCCCCCTCCATCCTGCTTCCAACCTGACTCCAGCATCCAGCCCACCCAAGCCTCTTCCTCTCTTTCCCATTCCCTCCTTCCCCTAACCTCTACCTCCAGTACCCAGGAGATCTTTTCTACTTCCCCTTCCCAGGGAAATCCATGTGCCTCTCTTTGGGCCCTCCTTGTTACCTAGCCTCTCTGGGGCTGTGGATTATAGGTTGGTTATCCTATGCTTTACTCCTAATAACATCTGTGATTGAGTACATACCATGTTTATCGTTCTGGATCTGGGTTACCTCCCTCACTCAGAATTATTTTTTTCTAGTTACATCCATCTGCCTGCAAATTTCATGAGGTCATTTTTTTTTACAGCTGAGTAATATTACCATTGTATAAATGTACAACATTTTCCTTATCCATTCTTTGGTTGAGGGGCATCTAGTTTGTTTCCAGGTTCAGGCTATTACGAATAATGCTGCTATGAACATAGTCAAGCATGTATCCTTTGGGTATGTGGCCAAAATTGGTATAACTGGGTCATGAGGTATATTGATTCCCAGTTTCCTAAGAAACCCCCATACTGATTTCCAAAGTGGCTGTACAAGTTTGCAGTTCCACCAGTAGTGGAGGAGTGTTCCCCTTATATCCTTTCCAGCATAAGTTGTCATCAGTATTTTTGCATTTTTCATTCCATAATTTGCTAGGGAGTTTAAAGCTTTTCTTTCTATATGTTTTGTTTATTAATACTCCTTTATAATTTGTCTACTAATATGCCTTTTCTCATTTTTCATCTTAGAATACTATTTTTTTTACTAGTTTGTTTCGTTTATTGCATAACTTAGAGAGATGGCTCAGTGGTTAAGAGCACTGCTGCTCTTCCAAAGGTCCTGAGTTCAATTCCCAGAAGCCACATGATGGCTCACAGCCATCTGTAATGAGATCTGGTGCCCTCTTGAGGAAGAGACCTGGTCAGTCATCCCCATCAATTTAGACCATGAAACCTAATATGCACAAGTTCAACAGAATGGCCATATACAGGCAGCTCATGCATGCTTCAGCATTGCCAGGGCATAAATTTCATTCATTCATTCATTTCTTCATTCAAATCCATG